ATCACAGCAATTGCATTAAATGGGACATGTAAGGACAAAGAAGTGTTAATTCACAGAACAGACCTTAACCAGCCAGAATCTAAGCTTCTATTTTCAATGACTAGAAGACAATTTTTAGTTATGGTGCCATTTGTAATGACAGTTAACAAAAGGCAGGGATAATCAATGGAAAGGATAGGGCTTTATCTACCAATACCGATGTTCTCACATAGACAATTGTATGTAGCATTATTAAAGGTAAAAAAGTATTGAGGGTTTTAAAGTACTGATATTAGATAGTATATAAAAAAAAGAAAGAAGCCAACAAACCAAATAATAAATATTGTTTACAATGAGGTTTCCCATAATGTCATTTTTACCTGATACACAAACACTGATAGTGAGTTCTTCTAATGAAAAAAGTCCTTACTTAACAACTCATGCAATGCACAAAGTACGGCATCTAGTTTTAAATAAATTTGTAATATGGGATTTCAAATAAATTTGTAACATGGGATTTCAATTGTTTTATCATTTAAAAATTCAATCTATTTATCTTTGAGGAGAGTTTGCCATGTGCTATTAACTGAGCATGCTTAAAATATATAATTTTGCAATTTGACAACTACCATATATTACCAAAAAAAAAAAAACCCACGTTCAAGATTCCTTGAAGTTAGGAAATTTTAAATAAACTTGTGATAGTATGAGATTTCAATTGTTTTTTTGGAGAAATTGCAAATAAAGACCCTCCAATATATAAAATAGCTATTAGGGACCCTGAATTTGAAAAATAGTTTCAAAGGACCCGGTCCCAAATTGCAAATATGAAATGATGGTGGAATGTCCAAAATGCCCTCTGTTTTTTTTCTCTTTCTTCCTCTCTAGATCATCTTCTTCCTGACCTTTCCTCTTCATTTTCCTCTCTCTCTTCGTTCTCTCTTCCCTCTCCAAGTTTCCTTCCCTCTCCTCACTCCTTTCTCAAAGCATATGGAACTCACAATGTCTTTTGGTGGTCCTCTCTTCATTGTCATCCCCCGTCACTTTCTTCTTATCTTGCTTAACTGCTCTTTCGTCGACAATAAAGCCTCTTCCATCATTTTCTCTGTTGCTGTGGAAGGAGAGGAGAGTCGGGGAGTTTGAGGGAGAGTGATATTTATTTGCAATGCTTGTAATGTTTGCTTGTAATGTGTGCGATGATTGCTTGGTGCTGAGACAATGCCCAACAAATCTGGATTTTTATTCTTCATTTCTATTTTGATTTTCAGCTTGTGTTCATAATTGAAAATAACAAGTTTGATAAGTTGTTGAAAATAACAAGTTGACACATTCTGATACCCACTTCATGACAAGTTCAGTAATGCGAATAACAAGTTTAGCAAGAAAAATAACAACTTCTGATAAGCAATTCATAGAAATTCGAGTTTCTATGTTAAAATGACAGCATTTTCAGATTTCTTTAGCAGATGACAAGTTCTGATACACAATTCATGACAAGTTCAGTAAGGCGAATGACAAGTTTAGTAAGGTGAATGACAACTTTTGATAAACAATTCATAGAAATTTGAGTTTTTGTGTTAAAATGACCGGTTCCCATTAGGTTTTCATACTTTTTCTGTTAAAATGACTGGATTTCCACATTGATTTATCAAATGACAGGTTCACAATAGAAAATAACAAGTTTTCATAAGATTTTTATACTTTTTTTGTTGGAATTACAGTTCGTACATTTCTGACAGCAGTCACTTCTGATAAACACGAAATGACAAGTTCACAATGAAAAATAACAAGTTAAGTATGGCAAATGACAAGTTCTCATAACGTTTTCATACATTTTCATACTTTTTTTGCTAGAATTACAATTTGCACATTTTGACAGCACCCACTTCTGATAATTGCAAACAAGCTCTAAATTGTGGAAATCAAGTATGATTATTGTATTTCGGTGGATAAATCGATCAAGGTGTGGGATGTGAGGAACAAACGAGCCCTAAATACAGTGCTAAACGAATAAAGTTCTCACCTTATATGTAGAATTTGATGGTTTCTTGTTCATATGATATGACAATTTACATTTGGGATTTCATGGTTGAGGATGCACTTGTGAGTGAATATGATCATTATAGTGCATTTGCCACTAGTGTTGATATGAGCATGCTTCTTGAGGAGCTTATAAGAGTTCTGGTGCTATAGTTTTATACATTAGGAGGAAATGATGAAAGATGTTAATCAGAAGTGGTTGCTGTCAAAATTGCACATTGTTATTCCAGCAGAGAAATTTACATTTGTATGAAAATGTGATGGGAACTTGTCATTTTACATACTTAACTTGTCATTCGCTATTATGGACTTGTAATTTACTGTTTATCAGAAGTGTTTGCTGTCAGAAATCTGCACATTGTTGTTTTAACAGAGAAATTTACAATTGTATGAAAATGTTATGGGAACTTGTCATTCGCTATTGTGGACTTGTCATTTACTGTTTATCAAAAGTGGTTGCTATCAGCAATGTGCAAATTGTAATCCCAACAGAAAAAGTATGAAAATGTATGAAAACGTTATGGGAACTTGTCATTTGCCATACTTAACTTGTCATTTTCCATTATGAACTTGTCATTTCGTGTTTATCAAAAGTGGGTGCTGTCAAAATGTGCAAATTATAATTCCAACAGAAAAAGTATGAAAATGTATGAAAACATTATGGGAACTTGTCATTTGCTATACTTGCCATTTTTCATTCTGAACTTGTCATTTCGTATTTATCAGAAGTTGTTGCTGTCAGAAATGTGCAAACTGTAATTCTAGCAAAAAAAAGTATGAAAATGTATAAAAATCTTATGGAAACTTGTCATTTTTTATTGTGAACCTGTCATTTGATAAATCAATGTGGAAATCCAGTCATTTTAACAGAAAAAGTATGAAAACCTAATGGGAACCTGTCATTTTAACACAGAAACTCAAATTTCTATGAATTGCTTATCAGAAGTTGTCATTCGCTTTACTAAACTTATCATTCGCCTTACTGAACTTGTCATGAATTGTGTATCAGAACTTGTCATCTGCTAAAGAAATATGAAAATGTTGTCATTTTAACACAGAAAGTCGAATTTCTATGAATTGCTTATCAGAAGTTGTTATTTGCCTTAATAAATTTGTTATTCGCATTACTGAACTTGTCATGAAGTGGGTATCAGAATGTGTCAACTTGTTATTTTCAACAACTTATCAAACTTGTTATTTTCAATTATGAACACAAGCTGAAAATCAAAATAGAAATGAAGAATAAAAATCCAGATTTGTTGGGCATTGTCTCAGCACCAAGCAATCATCGCACACATTGCAAGCAAACATTACAAGCATTGCAAATAACTGTCACTCTCCCTCAAACTCCCTGACTCTCCTCTCCTTCCACAGCAACAGAGAGAATGATGGAAGAGGCTTCATTATCGACGAAAGAGCAGCTAAGCAAGATAAGAAGAAAGTGACAGGTGATGACAATGAAGAGAGGGCTACCGAAAGACATTGTAAGTTCCATATACTTTGGGAAAGGAGTGAAGAGAGGGAAGGAAACTTGGAGAGGAAAGAGAGAAGAGAGAGTGGAAAATGAGGAGGCAAGGTCGGAAGAAGATGATCTGGAGAGGAAGAAAGAGAAAAAACAGAGGGCATTTTGGACATTCTACCATCATTTCATATTTGCAATTTGGGACCGGGTCCTTTGAAGCTATTTTCCAAATTCAAGGTCCCTAATAGCTATTTTATATATTGGAGGGTCTTTATTTGCAATTTTCCCTTGTTTTTTCCATTTAAAAATTCATTCTATTTATCTGCCATGTGACATTAATTGAGGATAGAGCCGGGAAAAAACGGGTCAAGCCTGTCGGGCGGCCCGTTTAAGCCCTGAAATTATGAGGGCTGGACTTGAAATTTTTCCCCTCAAATGGGAAACAGGCCTTGGAGGGTCGAGAGCCGGCCCGTTTAGTCTTTTTATAATTTTTTAAATTTTTTTATGTAATTCTAGTATTATTAATTTTTTACATTGTTAATAATATTTCAAATATTTAGTTATTATTATCATTTTAAAATTAAATTTTACATAATGATTTGATTTATTTAGTTTTAGATAATAATTTATCCAATTAAATTTTTAAAAAATGGGTTAATTTATTGGACTTTAATAATGGTTTGGCTTATATTATATATGTTGATATTTTTAAACTATATATATATTTGATAATAAAGTATTTTTATACTTATATAACTTGTGATTCTATAATTTAAATTAAAATTCATGAGTTTCAACAATAATGTTTCTTACATCAAAATAAAATAATAGGTAGATTGCAAAATTTAAAAGTAAATATAAAGAAGAAAAACTTAATATTTTTGTTACAAAAGAAAAGCATACTTATGAAGAAGAATAATTGATTATAGTGATGATGAAATTTCAAAAGATTAATGATAGTGTTTATTTATTGCACAATTGCACTATAGACAAAACTTTTGGATGTTGCTATCTTGTTAATGAATGTTTTAGATGTTCTTAAATGTTGATGGATATTTATATATGATGATATTTTGTATTTGTGATTTAATTTTTTATTTATATTTATATCTTTTATTAACAATTTCATTGGTTTATTTTCATTTTTAATAAAAAATATAAGAAATATAAAAAATATTTTTTTTAAGTGGGCCAAAAGCCCCGGCTGGTCCTGAGCCTGTTAACTTAAGGGTTAAGCCTAACAAATTGAGATATTTTTGAAAATTGGGCCCTGAAGGGCCGGCCTTTTTAAGGCTGCCAGTCCTGAAGGGCCAGTCCTGGAGGGCCGAGCCAGTCCTGATTCTCATATCTAACTGAGGGTGCTTTGGTCTCTGCTTTTAATAATAATAATAATAAAGATATTGCAATTTGCAATTGCAATATTTATAACAAGTAGAAAAATTCTGTGAAGCAATTAAGCCAATTTCGAGATAATTTGTAGGCAATTTCTGATTGTAGAATTAGAAACATAAAACATCATCGACCAAATAGCCAGGCGGGCTGCGCAACATATTTCTTACAGCACCAACACTCGGATTTTATCATTCCGCTCCTCCGTTTCTGGTTTGCCCTTCTCATTAGTCCGTGCTTCGCTTCATTTCCCCGCTGCTATCGCCACCGTCTCCGTCGCCGCGGGCAATCATCTTTCCCCAGGTTCTCGTCGCTGCTAACACTGCACTCTTGTGTAGTGATTAAATTTATTTTTTTATTATTAATGGTTGTCATGGTTGCGGCAATATTGATTTTGTCCCCTCTAAATTTCTATTGAGGAAGCCATTAGTATTTAGGAAAGCTTTTCATACATTTGTTGCACTATTTTTTTATTCCAGTGATTTTAGTAGTGAGTATATTTGCCTTCAGTTTGGGATTTAAAAGCCTGTCTTGAAAGACACCTTGGTTCAGAGGACAGCTAACGCTAAAGATGATTAAAGAAGAATGCACTGGTAATTAAGATGTTAAAGAGCATTTGTTGGCTGTGTACGTGTATATTCGATTTTAGAGTTAGCGATACATTTGTAATTGTGGTCGTTAGGAATTCGGTCTTCGCCAGCCATAGTCAGTGACGACGTTGCCCCCATTTACTTAGGGTTTGGAATTGGGAAGGTGGAAGGAGGAGTTGTTTAAGTAGATGTATTTCCCATTATAATTTCTCCATTCTATCATTCACATTCATTTTGCCAAGTATAATTTAGATATCATCTGCTTCTTTTCTTGCAAGCTTAACTGATGTTATCCCTCCTTCTTGTTGCTATTATTTCTCCTTGCTAGTTTTCTAGGGGTCTAGCTCAAGTATTTTGACTCTGTATAACTTTGTTAGTAACAGGAGAACTATGAAACTCAACCCAATAAGTAATCCGTAAATAAGGACAAAATAGTCATCCTCACCTTAAAATGATATTTATGATCTCTGTTTTTTTAACGTTTTATAACTATGCTCAATATTAGCATGAGCTTTAATGACTATTATCCGTGAATGGTGGTATTAGTAACCTAGTCAGTCCGATTGATGATTGATATCACATATGACTGCAATTGTGATGTTTGAATAGTTAATTTATATGTCTAAGTGTTCCTTCAAACTTGCAATTAGTTATTTTGGTTTATATAGCGTAATTTTTAGCATTTTATTATATTAACCACCTTGATTTATTTGGGCATGTGCTTTTTTAGCATCTCTCACTTAATGCAGTTCAGGGTTGTATAATAGTAGATTGATTGGGCTATTACTGAAAAATTCTTGAATACAGAAGGATAATGGAAATTTGAATAAAAAAAATTATCTGCTATATGCTGATAGTATTAGAGTGTGAAATCGTGGAAAAATTTCCTTACAAGTCAGTAATAGTCGTAATTGTAGAAATAGTAATCTCTAGTTATGCAGTAATATTCAATAGTTATAATTTATAATTCTCCTAATTATGACTATGTCAAGAAGAAAATAAATTTAACTATGAAGTGTTTTCTTGTGAGGGCTTTCACTGCCTTCTGTTAAATGAAATTGTTGATTGAAGATATATCACATGGATGATGATGCATGATGATGTGTAACATGCGCGGGCACTGAAAAAAAAAGGGAAGCTTTGGAGGACGCTTAATTTTTGAAAAGAAGGTCCTATAATTTTGTTTGCTTTTAGATTTTTAGATTGTAGAAGAATGTGAGGAACTTTTGTATTTATTATGTTGATATTTTGTTGATGTTTTCATGACATTCTTGTATTACTCATATGAAGTCATGAACTAGTTAATGGTTGAATAGAATCTCCCGCTTCCTCTCACTTTGCTTATATTATTGCATAGACCATGTAAATTTGTTGTTGATACCATAGTTTTTCTCCATACATGCCACACAATCTGTTTGGGGGTTGCTTTTGAAACTTCCATTATGTTGAAATGTGCTTGTTCACTAATGTTTTCCCTTGTCTATTGGCAGGATTGTGATTTTTTATAATTTGTTTCGATCACTGAAGATGAGCAGATCTGAACGTTTGAAGAAGCATGGAAAAAGTAATAAGCTTTCTGGTGATAAATATGATGAAGAGGGTGTAGAGAGTGCAGCTCGGACCAGGCCACTCAGTCTTGAAGAGATTTTACTTAGAAGAAAAAACAAAGAATTACTTGAAAAAGTAAAAGACTCTGCAAAGGAAGCTTGGAATGTATCACATGGAACTTCTGAGAATACTACTGATTATTTTGAGTCAGGGAGGGGTTATAAATGTGACAAAACCTTATCGTCCATTGTGGAAAAGCATGCCTTGGAGGAACCAGAGAAGTTAAGTTCTAGAAAGAAGGCTGAAAGCACTTCTAGAAAGGAATATAATTTAGCTGGTGCGAAAGACAGAGGAGGTTATGATTCAGAAACCAAACTATGTGCTGATTTAAGTAATATGGGCTGGATAAATAAAAATAGTAAAACTAGCAGAGAGATGCATAGTAGAAGGAAAAATGATGGAAGGGTGATTGATAATTCTGAGCATGAAGCTGAAAACAAACGAATAAGGGATTCAACTAGTAGGGATAAATATTTAGAAATAGATAGGGAAAGATCTCAAAGGAAAGTAAAGAAGATGTATCGTACTGTAGATGATGAAAGTCCTAGGGAATATAAAACTGAAAGGAATCGTAATGAAGATACATATGATTGGGGAAAAGGAAAAAGTGGTCAAGTGATCATTCTGAAAATGTAGTTGAAAAGAAGCATCATTTAGATATAGGCAGTAAGGATAGACATCCAGAGGGTAGAGGAAAATATGGAAGAAAATCCAAGAGCAAATATGAAACTGTAGATGAAGATAAGGTCCAAGATAGGAGTGCTGCAAGGAAGCACTCTCTGGGGAAAAATCCTGATCCTGAGGATGGGGAAAAGAAGGAGAGGGAAGAATCAGTAAAGTCACATTATGAAGAAGCAAGGGCAAAGAGGACATGGTTGGGAAGGCAAGAACATGATGAAAGAACAATGTCTCTAGATTTTCACCTAGGGCACAAAGACGCACTTATGATGGAGAGCATAAAGATTTGCCTGCACATTCTCTAAAGAACAGTTCTAGAAGATCACATTCTGATGCCGATAAAGGTAGAGGAGCAACTAATCGTTCAAGAAGTCACCATCATCGACATGGTGGGTCTATAACCGGACTTGGTGGCTATTCACCAAGGAAGAGGAAAACCGAGGCTGCTGTCAGGACTCCTTCTCCATCGAAGCATTCTTTGGAGAAGAAAAGAGCTGGATGGGATCTTCCCCCTCAGGGGACTGAGAAATCTTCAGCCTTTAAAGTGTCAAATGTTACAATATCATCAGCCATACATAATGTGTCTGCTGCAACTTCAGTGGATCCAGTCACTGTGAAGCCTTCTGTGTCTCATCTGAATGATTCATCAACAGGGAAGAACACTGACATTGATTCTGTCCAACTGACACAGGCTACCCGGCCTATGAGAAGGCTTTATCTAGAGAATCTACCTGACTCTGCTTCTGAGAAAGCTGTGATGGAGTCTCTCAATAACCTGTTGCTCTCTGCAGGAGTAAACCTTATCCAAGGAGCCCAGCCATGTATTAGCTGCATTGTGAGTTCAGAGATAGCAAATGTGTAATGTGTACATTTAAATTTTTATGCTCAAAGCAATGCTTTTGAGGTTATCCTTTTATGTCTTTACTGCAGTTGCACAAAGATAAGGGCCAAGCACTTGTGGAATTTATTACAGCTGAGGATGCTTCAGCAGCTCTTTCTTTTGATGGAAGTACAATTTTTGGTTCTACTGTCAAAATTAGACGCCCCAAAGACTTTGTTGAAGTTGCTGTAAGAACAAAATTCTTACCCATCCCTGAATACTTTTTTTAATCCTTGCTTATATGGTTGCCTCTTTAATTCATGTCTATAAAACATGCATAATTTGAATTAGATGTTTGGATGTTGGAATAAACTTGGGTGTTCCTGGAATATGGTTGTCTCTCTGTATATCTGTTGAATTTCAAGTATGATACTGTTCTTGCACTACATATTTTTATCTTTATGTACAGAAAGGCTATCTCTCCTCTTCTCTCTCTTAAATCCATTAACGTTTTATGAATTTCTTAATTTGCTTTATATATCCTTGTTTGGTGTAATATTTTTGTATGTCCAACAAAACCACAAGCCAATTAAGGTTATTTACATACTGGTATCATTATATGATTTACTTGTTATGATGAACATAATTCCTTGTAAAGAAGATTCTCTTTCTTTACGAGTACTTGTGACATAAGTCTATTATTCTCTTGATTGTCATATAAGTGGATTAATATAATAACCATTTGATATGAATGTTTTGCTTTTGTCTTCATGAAAATAAATATTTATGTATGATATTATTTGTACTGCGTCTACCAAATTTTAATATATGATCATAAACATTTTAAGCATTCAAACAAAATATTTTAGATGAAAATTATCTAACCTTCTATCTCATTTTTCTGCAAGTGTTTCAAATGGCTCTCCCTCTCTCTCTTAGAGTAGTTTGGTTTGCTTAATTTTGTTTTAATGGTCATGATTCTCATGAATTTATCAATGAAAAGTTTACGAGTTCTAGTTATTGTGAAAGTGCATTCTTCTATTCATAATACAAGTAGGTAGCATGGCATGAATTCAATTTCTTCTCTTTGTTTTAATTGATCTTTTCTATATTGTAGTTTGATTTGCTTATTTTTGTTTTAATTGATCTTTTTTATCTTTTAGTGTGGTTTGCATATTATGCTTGTAAGATTTTATCATCTTTGAGCTCAAAACAATATATTCAGATCTGAGCAAGATGATATATTCTGATAAATAATTACTCTTTCAACAGTCCTTGAATCCATATTGAAGATCTATTCTAGGCAAGATCCATGACCTCACCTAGTAGGATAAGGTTTATTGTTGTTGCTGCATAATCACAACCATCACAAAAATAAGCAAAACAAATTATGAAATAAAAAATCTCAATTCAAATTAGGTATAGAAACCATTGGGTGCCATCAACTGTTTAACAGAAAGGCATAATTAAGTCGAGCTGACCGAAGTTTTAGCATGGTCAGGTTTGTTCATTAAAAAATGAGCAACCTTAGTGGGGCAAAAATCATGATTTGTAAAATGAGCTGAGCCTGTGTAGTTTTAATATGGTACTATGAATATAAATATGATACAAACGTGTTGCATGTATATAAACTGAACTTAAAAAAGGGAAAATCCCAAAAAAATGACTGTTAAATTTCAAAATTTTAAATCCGTATTGGTTACTATACTTGTAAAGAAAATGACTACATTCGAAAAGCAAATGACAGTACATTTTTGTGGTAATTCCTGACTTGGAATTTTGAAATTCAACCGTCATTTTTTTAGAATTTTTCCTAAAGAAATTGTGAATTTCTATATTTCTAATGTGTGAAGGAAATAATAAAATAATCTTTTAATGATGATAGTTTTCATAAAATCATACGTACACAGTACATAGTACATGCTTATGTATATATATACAATATAATTTTATTACTTGATATTATATTTGCGTTGCTTGTGAAGTTAACAAAATTAAATTTTCAAGTTCAATTTGATTAAGTAAATGAGTTTAATATACTATTCAAGCTCTGTACTTCAAGTAAATGAGCTTAGCCAAACTTGATCTTTAAATGAGGTGAACTCAGCAGTTTGCAAAAAATTCAGTTCCAAACTTGAGCTTTTAATGAGATAATTGTGTAGTTATCACAGTATTATTCATTTACGTCCAAGTTATGAAATGTGATGTTGAAGCCCACATTTATGGTCTGTTTTGGGATACTTTAGAATGATTTCCACTCCTCTATTTCAACATCACTCAAATCTTAAGTAACTCATCCTTGTAGACTAAGGGTGTGTTTGGATGAAACCAAACCATGGTTTGGAGAATAGCTTTTAGAGATAGATTCTGAAAAAAATAGATTTTGGGAAGAATAGATTTTGAGAAGTGTGAGTGTTTGGATAGTTGTTATTAGAAGTACTTTTATATAACAAATTGGCATAAATTAATATGATAATTATAGAAAAAATATTTTTTA